TCAGCTTTTCTGCTTATGTTGTCATTATTGGACGAAGGTTTATTTTCGTTACTAACTGCGTCACAAAAATCATGCTTGTTAGTGTCCGAAGCAATTTTTTCCAGCGGCAGTTAGATTTTAAGAGAAAACTTATTTAGTCGGCAGACCAACGTTCAACTGCCATAATTTATCGGAAGGCATAACTGAACAGCGATTTTTGCTTAAAGGTTAGCATTCTGGCCAAATTTACCACAATCTAAACTCACGTTTTACATAACCACGTTTTCCAAATAAGTTGGTATACCCCTTTTTTCGATGCATTTTAATTTGCTTTTTTGGACTGTGATTTATTCGTATATTGTTTGGTGAGCTAAAAAAGTGGATGGAATCCTTTAGAGCCCCATACTAATAATGGTGTTTTATGCAACTAAAAGTGAGCGGCAACTACCAATAAGTAGGCCAATATTAAAAAAATTAAAGCCCATTCGTGGTCTTGTATATAAAAGCGTAATAGACTGGGTCACCAAATAAAGGAATATATTTGCGATTAGATCTGTTGCAGTGTTATTGACTAAATATAACTCAAGATCGGCTGTACAAAAAGTCACTTACATAACGAGACTCTTACTGTAACTGTCTTCAGCGGCAAAGATCTTCCCATTTTCATCACCACAAGGGCTTTGCAACTTTAAAAAGTTACATATTCTTAAGTGATGTCCAGTATATGCAGGCGATGCGATTAGAGTGATTCCTTAATGGCTTTTCTTATTATGTCCTAGATTAAAAATTAGTGCATGAAAACTGATATTCACTAAAAAAAACCTAGTGAATACACCTTGATCTTCCGACTACATATAACAAACTCTCGAGTGAAAGAGTGCTTTGCTTGATCCACTAATTTCAGAAGCACATTATAATACAGGCACTATCACCAAATATAATTGATTTCCATTGCTACACTTAATCTGACCATTAGCAAAATTACATCAACAAAATCGAATAAGACTAATCAAGAAAGCAATGGATGGATAATTAATTCCAAGATTCTACGTTTTAACGTGCAGAAGTTTGAGAGTTTGCAAGGAATCATTACTTGAAGGCAACTGACAACTAAAAGATAATGGTCGACAAACCTATACTTTCGATGGGTTGACCGCTGACATTCCTTTTTGGTGAATATCATTTCCCCATACCAATGTTACGAGAGGCTTTTTCGCTTTAATTTGACAAACAAACTTCGACATAGGTCATTTTATTAGTGCTAAAGCCATCTGAATAGTCATAGTTCCTCAATCTTAAGTTACTACTATTATACTACAAATGTTTATATTCAGTTATTTCGGCACTGTAACGTGACATTTATCATTTTTAAGTATAGGGGAAACAAAGTTTTTGTTTAATTAAGACGATCAATATGATGTGTAACGACATAAAGCCTCACTGCCGACTGCATGGAGGAATTATTAATAGTAACTTGGGATTGTATAATGAAAGTTTAGTCTTCAGCAGCCCACACAATAAGCATTTGACAAATTATTATCTCACTCTGTCTCTGTCTCACTTACAGAATGTAGACTCTAGAGCTATACATATTCGAAAACCAAAGAACCGAAACCTGATTTGTTTAATATTGTGCTATCTAGAACGTAAATATTTATTCATTTATCAATAAGTAAATGACTGATATCCGGAACAATGCATGACAATTCAGTTTCAAACACGCACAATACTCGGCACTCATAGTTTTATTGATCCAATGACCATCGAAAAAAATCAAAACATTTAGAAACCCATAAAACTTTATATACGACAAATTATCATTCTGGGAGGGTGATAAACACGATTATGTACATGTATTTGCGAAGTTATTTACGTATAATAGAACAACTTGAGATGTATACATACATTGAGCCCAAAATAAATAAAACAATCGGGCCTACCAAATGCACCGGCTATTTTATAATATTAATAGTAATTGTGAGTTATATATAGATACAATATTTAAGAGCGAACCATGTCGCCATTATAATCAAAACGAATATGAGAAAAAATTGTCTGAGGTTTAAACAGAACCCAGTTTGAGTTGGAGTTTTCAAAATCAGGCGAATAATGTTTAAAAAAATTGGCATATATCTGGAGCACACGAAAGATTAGAACAATTCTATCTGACTCCTGGTGTTACTAAGCCTTGGACAGAAAAGAACTTACTCTATATTCAACACAAATATATAGAGAATAGCAAACTTCTGGAGTCAGATTGGTCGACAATTTCTATCGAACCATATGATTCGATGTAACATATTTTTCGCTCGAGAATCGCTGAGTGGTAAGAAAGCACAACAAACAATCGTGTCAAAATCTCTCTGCATAAAACTATCATAAATTCCCTATCACTCAAAACGAGGACGTTAGTGGAATAAAAGGTTAAAATAAAAATACCTGAAGGATACTCTGATGTCGCGATAAGTTGTTGCGCAAGAAGAATGTTTTGTAATTATACACGATAAAAGATAAAACAAAACAAACAATAATTGTACAATAATGTTCATTCCATATTGTTCAATTTAAACCACGGAAAAATTCGCATGCAGTTATATCTTTTGTTATTTGTAGAAACTGAGCAAAGAATTTTCGCGGGATCTGATAGATAGTATGGAACATGATTTTGAGGGTTTTACGTTGGTAATAGTCGACAGAATCAAGGAGCTTAAATGATGGAAAGTAGCTAGGTTCATTAGGAATGCTGTTGTATTTGCCATAATCGATAGTGTATCTTGCCAAAGTGATGAAGTAGTTAGTTGCTGCTTGAAATGCAAAGGACATGAGCTGTTGATTGGTTTGGTCTGTCGCAGTTCAATCTGTGAGGTAAGTGAGGTCTTGCTAAACTGTCTCAATACTTGGTCACGAAGTGGTAAATATCTAATTATAGGAAACTTTAATGCACCCACGATAGACTGAAAAAGTCTGAGATCTGAATCATTAGTTAATTCCTTCGAGTACGAACTAGTTGATAGGGTTATTTCATATGCCCTTGCGCAACATGTGAAGGAGTCGACTAGGTATGACCCGCACTTTGAATCATCCTTACTAGATCTTATATTGACCCATTACGACGATGACTTTATGAACCTCGATTACATGCAACCCCTACGTAAATGTCATCATGCAGTTCCAACTTTGACTTCGTATAATTGTCAATAAAGTGCGCTCATCAGATCAATCTGGACCTAATGTCTGAAAAGCAAATATCACGGATATTGTACATTCAACAGCGTCAGTAGAGCCAGGGTCTCCAAATGAAGCAGCTTAGGATGTACTTCGAAATTTATACTTAAAAAGTACTGCATCCTAAATCCCTTGGACTATACCGAGGGGGCCAAGGAACTCACAATCATTGTTCAGTAAGAAGTTTCATATCATCTCCGTAAGCGAAGAAAAATGTGGGATAGATTCAGGTCACTGGAGACTGATTGGACGAAATCTGAGCACCGAAAAGTTCAGAAAACTTGTGCCTCAACCCTCTGTATATCTAGAAGGCTATAATAGGAGAAAATTTTCAAGGGACACATAAAATATACCAAACGCTAGTACTCCTATATAAACCAAAGGACAAAAAGGAGAGGAAATATTCTTGCACTATGGGGAGAAAGTACTGCCGCACCATTAGTGGTGGACGACTTTGGTAAGACTCGTGTTCTCAAACTACTTTAGCAATGTATATACCATAGAAGCACCCTTCCCATCAGCGCATACAGATTACCCCACACATACAGTGGATAGCGTGACCATTAAAGAACTCGATGTCTTTGGTCTACTAAATAAGCTTGACATAGGAAAATCCACGGGGCCCGATGAATTACATCCTAGGCTACTGAAGGAATTATTTAAATTCGTTGCGAACCCTTTAAGTATATGCTTTAACCTATCCGTAACACAGGGTCGTTTACCCAAAGACTGGAAAAACGCCATAGTAAGTCCTGTCTTCAAAACAGGTACGAAACACAAACCTGAGAATTACCGCCCCGTTAGCCTAACTAGTATGGTTTTTTAAAATCTTAGAAAAGATTATTTGGAAGGAGCCGTTTAAGTAGCTCGGTGTAAACTGGATCCATTCGGAGAAGCAGCATTGTTTAGGAATAGGTCGTTTCTGCCTCATTGACTTATTAGTGGTTCGTGAAAACTGTTGCTCTCTTAAAGATCAAAACTGTGTAAAACAACAAATTTAATAGTTTGATTGAGGGTCTGCAGGTGCCAACTTCATGTTACTGCAAATTGTCTATAAATTCACAAGTGCCTGTCAAACAACTACATTAGCAGAAAAAAAGCAGATCATATCCTGGAATTATAGAACATGTGCTAAGGAACTTAAATAGGATAGGAGCACTTCGGACGGCCTAATCCCTAGTAACGCTTTAACAAAGTACATCTAGCCGATGTCCTGAAATCGTTCATGGTGATCCCCGACCTCTCGAAGTTCTTGAAGCCACTGCATTCGGATCTCAGAAAGCTGACATGTTTAGGAGATAGTCGTTAATCCAGACGGTTCTCCGACTACTCTGGATAAGTAATTTCATTCCGACATTTAGTCGTTTTAATCGTATGTCCATTGCGAAAACACTCCTAGGTTTTAGGTGATTTCTGCAATCAAGTTCTTCGGACGTTTAGTATTATTCCACTCGGTCACCGAAATATATCTACACCTTTGTAATACAGTACTGAGATATTCTCAAAGCAAGTTACAATCAAACTCCTTTTTGTGACTTCGACTAATTTTGTGATTATGATTCTTACATATTACAGGTAGTAAGCAGTCGTCAGAAAAAAACTAAATAAAACGAATTCATGTTATCCTACTTAAACCTATGTTAATTTTTTATTCAAGATGACTAAAGGTAACTCCGCGTATGGACACATCATTTCAGCAAGGTCGCATCGAATACATTATTTTTACGACAAAAAGAATGTTGGTCCGCATAAAAGTAATTTTACTAACAAAGCATTATTATCATTAATCATATAACACCATAAATTAACTTTATTTTCCTTATGAATTTATTTATACATATTTCTCTAGAAAAAGAGGTGGAAAAACCAGATAAGAAAGCAAAAAACACCAGGAAAGCAGTAAATCAACCAAAACAAATTACCGGTATGATCAAAATATAAAAAAAGACCAAAGGAACTCTATAAAATGCCATTAATTGAGGTGGTTTATAGTACAATAAGCGTTATACCAAAAAAATTGGAAAGGGGAACAAATTACATGGTTTAAAAAACGATAATGGGTTATGATTTGGACCAGGTAGGTATAGGAAACTGTCGAACACGAACACTCGATTCATCCAGTCGATCGACAGGATGAAGATATATATTTAATGTGGAAAATATTTGACGATTGAGTACTGAGAAACGACTTAAACGAGCCGCCATTCGTTCCAGAGACTAAATGGTAAAAAAAATGAGAGGGAAACTATTAATTTAAAATAAATAAAATAACTTTAACATCGACTGATGAACTCTAGTATGCTGAGTCACCAAGTAACAGTACTCATAGAGGTAATTCGAAAAACAACAGAGAATTTTTAGAAGCTTGGCACTCAGGTCAATCAGCAATCAACAAGCACATTGAAATCGATTCAATTTATCAATCAATCAGGAAAACTATGCACAAACATAGGAACAAAAACCAAACCAATGGGAGATACAATCAAAACAAAGAAGCAAACAATGACAAACTTAAGGTCAATAAGAACCAATCAACACCGAGGTCTACAGGATAAGCTATGAACCACATATGGAGAAACTCCAACACTTCACTTCTACCTGAAGTCTGTGCTGGTGATGTCATTCAGGAAAACGATGAGAGCTTCACGAGCAAACCATCCAGCTCAGAGAACAAAACTCCATTAAGCACTCAAAGCTCTTTACTAAAATTGAAATCGATTCAATCTAAATTTACCCTCTGTAAATTACTTAGTAATTAAACTATCAAAACAGTGAAATAATCTACCAGAGTAACAATTAAAATGTCAAATTAAAACGGACAGATATAATAACATATTCATAGATATAACTTATTATTTAAATAATAATAAAACGTACAACTCCCATTGGTGTTGCATCTTTTTTATCGATTCGTTGTAGTCGTAAAATAAGACTACCAAAATCAAGTGCTTCAAATTGACGTTGTTGACCTAATAACAAAATGATTGCACATCCAGCCCAATTTAATCCTTCACCAAACATTTCTTCAACTGTATATTCATTTTGCCCAAATGGTGTACAGAATACTAATTGAATAGCAGACCATAGACGATGAAAGTGTGTATAACTTTCTAAGCCGAGTATATCATTATTATAATGTGTAGTAGTTCCATTACATATAGAACTACGTTTGGCAATATTGGAAAGACGATCCCAAGTATTTCCATCAGAATCTTCTTCATGAAGGAAATTTTTAATTTTATTAAGGACCTATTTATGCGAAGTAGAAAATGACAAAAAATCGGGAGAAATTAAAACAATAAAAAATGAGAATTTCTAATTATGAATTCGCAATCTGTAGAGAAATCGAAGTAAGGTAGACAGCTATTGTCACTGAAGTAACTACTTCTATGAATTTGGTGTTCATCTTGTTGTGCTTATGAGGTATGGCAACTTGGACCAATGCATATATGTATCTGGTTCTACGTTGTAGCTGGCTGAGATAACTACTGTCCTTCTGTACAATTATTGCATCTGGTATACATAAATTTTTAGCACTCCTACAAACATCTCAAATATGTAACTGTTTTGCACAAGTCCTAATTAGTTATTAAGTAGCCCAAGGGGCAAAGCAACTACGTACACCATAGATTTCGGTAAACCATGCTTGTATGTTCTATATTACACAGCCATCCACTGAAATATGTTTTATAAATTGAAGCATTCAATGACAAACAATTCATTAAACGGCCGGAAATTATGTTTGAAAATCATCTCTGTTGTTACGACTAGAAGAATCATAACTTACAAATTCGAATAGTGTTAAACCAGAACAAAGTCTCTCTTTCGTTAATATTTCATTCTCTTTAGCTAAGGACAATTGCTGTGAATAGAAGAAAAGAGAGAGAGATAATTATTAAAAGGAGTAAATTCAACATGAAAATAACTCAAGGTTTTACTTGGTAAGTTGAATTACCCGTGAAACTGGTTGACACGACATCGAATCCGTCAGGGAGAATCGGTTCCCTCACTAGTACAGGTACACCTTGCTAATGAGTGCCATACAGCACGAAACCTACGTCCAGGATTTCCTGACAACTACCTTCAACTATTTCAACCAGTAGACCATGTGTTTAAATTCATTTCTTGTCATCTTTGTTTTTTTAACACTAAAAATTGTATAGTTGTGTTTTATGGAGTTTTGTCTAGTTTGTAGATGGTTTTTATCACGGGCTAATACCTATCGAAGAATCACTGAAATAGAGGTATCTGTTTTATTTTAGGTTGGAACTTCTTCAGTGGTGCTCAAGAGTGGCTCTATGGGGAACTGCACTCCTAACATTCAGGTTTTGCAGTAGCCACACTTACGCACAAATTTATGCCTTACCCCTCCTCCTTGAGGAGCATATGGCCGCTCACTAACATTCTCCATCCAACTCTGCTATGAACAATTCATTCCAGTTGCCATTCATCTTTTTTCATGTCTGTTTTCAGTTTTCGACGCAGTATGTTCTTTAACCTACCTCTTTTCCGTTTCCCTTCAGGATTCCAAGTTAGCGCTTGTCTCGTGATGCAGTTTGACGATTTCCCCAACGTATGCCCCATCCACTTCCATTATCTTTTCCTAATTTCCCCTTCAGCTGGAAGCTGGTTTGTTTTTTACCACAGTAGGCTGTTGTTGATGGTATCCGGACAAAAAAACATTGAGTATCTTGAGTAAATAGTTGTTCATATATACTTGTAAATTCTTCATTATGGTTGTGATAGTTCTCCAAGTTTCAGCTCCGCACAGTAGAACTGTCTCGATGTTCGTATTGAAGATTCTGACTTTGATATTGGTTGACAGGTGTTTTGGGTTCTGTATGTTCTTCGACTGTAGGAATGCTCCCCTTACTTTGCCGATCCTTGCCTTTACGTCTTTACCAAATCCTTCTTTCTCATCGATGATACTTCCCAGGTACGTGAAAGACTCCACTTGTTCTAGAGCTTCTTCATTTAATGCGACCGGGTTAGTGTTCTCCGTGTTGTATTTGAGGATCTTGCTTTTCCCTTGTGTATGTAGGGTCCTACTGATGTAGAGACTGCTGCTACACTGTTTGTCTGGACTTGCATTTGTTCGTGAATTGTAATAGAAGAATTACGTCGTCTGCAAATTCCTGGTACCGATCGTAGTGTGGTGCCTCTATTGTCATCATTGCTATCATTAATGGGTGTACAACACTGGATAACATTCATTGTGATTCCCTTCTTTATTTTGAAAGATGATTTGATTATTCTGGGTCCATGAGATTCCTATCCTATAAGTTCTTAACGTGCTTCTTTGTATAACATCACAGCAACTCCCTGAGTGTATAGAGCATTTTCCTCTTCGTGACCAGAGTACAATAGCATCTCTCCCGAATATATCCCTTTCGGTCCAGGTTGTGTCCAATGGGTTTCATTTATTTCGAGCACTGTCAAATTGTATCTTCTCGTTTCTGTTGCCATTTGACTGGTCCTCCCGGTCTCCCACATTGTATGAACATTTCATATACCTATAAAATCTGTTGTTCCGGTTGTAAGAAGGGGCATCGGCCTTCTGACTTCCAAATAATCTCGGGTTTCGCCCTGAGGCATGATAATTCCTGTGAATGAAGATCCTTCAAGTGTCAGGGAAGAGTTAAAATAGTTTAATTTGTTTATTCTGGTTAGTGTTTTTTAGCAAGGTTGTATTCTACGGGATGGGGTTATTGATCCCATGTCAACCCTCTTCCTTTACCCGGGTTTGAGACTGGCAGTAGCTGTAGAAGAGTAACTACATTACTTCAGGGAATTTAAACACAGACTCAATCCTTTACATTTTAAACTTTGCATAATATCCGATATATTGAGCTACGATTATCCAGATAGCATTGATGATACATTTTCCAGTAAATGCGCATGGTCCATTGAGATTGACTTTAAGCTGTGTGACAGGGCATCTTTAACCAGTGATTCCGATTATGATGATGACTCTAGCTAGGCAGTTTGCACCTACTAACATGACTCAGATTGACATTCAATAAGTAATATGAATTGATGCTACCGGTAGTTTCGGTTGCTCCTGGGTTTCTTCTAAACTACAACTACTTCAACCAGCATCATGTGTCGAGGTTGGCAGTGGTTGGGATTACGTAATATATATGTCAACCACTTATGAGAAATTTAGTTTCGTCATCCAACTTGATATCTTTACTTGATAACACTACATTTAAGATCAAGTAATAGTAAAATACGTATGCCATCTAATTTTAAAGACCACATGTCACAGTTATAAACTATAGAAGATTGTACTGTTATGCAGTACAGTTATATTTTAGTACATAGGATATCGCTTTTAGACAAATTAGTTTATTTACTATTCAATGAAAGAAAAATGCATAGGTTTTTTGTTATCCGATTGAAACATTTTAAGTGGAATATGTGACAGCATGGAGTTTAATGAAGAAATAATAGCAATTCCGGTTACCCATTAAATAGGAGGCATTTAAAAAGAAAAATCTTGATATATATATACCACTTGTTTCACTTTCCTTTGTAGATTGAGTTAGTACCTCACTTTTGTTCCATACTTTGTCCGTTTTCACTGTATTTCTATGCTGATATAAAATTGGACAATTTAAATTGATACATATTAGTAGATAGACCTTAAGATGATGACTGATTATTTCAAGATGTCATCTATCTCAAATTGACTTATAAATTAATCTAGTTATTATTATTTATTTATTTATTTTAACACATAGATATTGGTACAAGGAGGCACCAAATACATATGCGCCACATAAATCATCCGATTTGTGTGAGGGCTGTGATACTGCCCGGTTGCCCAGACCGAAGCGGGTGATTTTCTTAGGGGACCACACCCCGAGCTTTAGACCTTAAGGTTTGACCCACAAGGCAGTGGAGCATCGTGAGGAGATGAAGTTCCATGGTAGCCGGTGATCAACGATTGGGTCATACGCCATTTGTTCCCGCAGGATAATAATGGAGCCCATGAGCACCATTGGTTTGGGATCCGTTTATAGCGCCGGACATTCGCTTTCCGTCCTCTCATTTTCGTAAACAACACCTCTGCCACGAGAAGGCAGTGAGTAGGACTTTGCTGGCATAGGCTATATACACATGGTCATGTGAGAGTATTTCGAGAGGGAGGGCAGGCCCACCCCTCTCGGCCATACCAGGGCATTAATCTAGTATAATACTCTACAGATTAGTTCGCACAATTAAATCAATATAAACAATGAAACGATTAAGAAAATGAACTAAAAGGAAACACTATTTTAAAAAATATATATATATAATACAAGATTAGAGAATGATAAATACATATGGATCACGTAGATTTGCATATAAGATGTTATTAACTTACATCTTCAGTACCAATACGTGATACAACTAGTACAATATTCATTGATTCTTGTTTCTTTTGTAATTCTTTGTATTGAATTTCACGTTCACGTCTTAATTCATTAATTGATTTACCTTTTAATCCTTCTAGAATGAGTAATAGAGAATAGAAAAGGAACAATATCAGTAACAATAAGTGAACTAGTTGTACATTACATATATCTCATTATTATTATTATTATTATTATTATTATTATTATTATTATTATTATATAGAAACAATTTTGGTATAACAGAATATCAAGAATTGCACCATATACACAAGTCAGGATTTGCCCAATTCTTCAGATGTATCCTTTGTACTTGTCAAACACTAATCATATGAAGAAAGTAAAACTTCTTTGGAAAATAATATTACATATGTATATATATTCTGTATTCCTATTCTAGTCCTCATCAATATACAAAGGCTATGTATCAACAACAACAACAACAAAAAACAGTCCAATGAAACCATCGAAAATATCAACACCATGAAAAAAGAAATGGGATTTCACAGGGTTTTTTCTTTCTTCCATGACATACTTCATATCTGTTATTAGTGTTGTTGTTTTGTTTTTCAAAATTCATGATAAGTTTTCGATTATTGTTTTTTTTTGACTAAAAACAAATAAGGATTGATTGATTGATATAGGAAACTGTTCATTGAACTTTTAATTAAAGTTTAAATAATTAAAAAAAATCAATAGAAAAAAAAAGAAAAAAATTAATTAAATGATACATTTTTCAATTGCATAGTAACTAGTGACTAAAATCAATAAATGTTTATAAAACTCTACACCATTGAATCAAGAATTTTTTAACTCACTAACGAGATTTATTTAAACACATAAACATTCGTACAAGGAGGTATCAAATAGATATACACCACATAAATCATTCGATTTATATGAGGGCTGAGATCCTGCCCGCGTGCTCAAACCGAAGCAGTGGGTTATCTTAGGGGATCATACTCGAAGCCTTTGACTTACAGGTCTAATCCACAAGACAATGGAGCAACGTTGGGAGATGCGGTCCGACGGTAGTCGGTGATCAATAATCGGTTTATGCGCCATCTGTTCCCTTAGTATCCTGAAGCCCATGTGCACCAATGGTTTGGAATTAGGGTTTTCCAACTCTTCTAGGTGGACTCTCCGTGTCCAGTAATCCGGTTAAAGTACCGAACATTCGCTTTTCGTCCTCTCAAATTTTGTAAACAACACCAGTGGTGCGAGAAAGCAGTGAGTAGGACTTCCCTGTTGGTGGTTGTATGCACGCGGCCATGTAAGAGTATCACGATAGGGAGAGCTGACTCTCCCCACTCTCAGCCGTATCAGGGCATTTGGGGGCCACTAACAAGATAACTCTACAAAATCGATTGTATACAATTTAAGTGGCAAATGTTCAGTTTCGCTTCTGTCTTTTTTTCATTGAGTAAAAAGCATTTTGAACAAATACAGGGAATGTCTAAAATTTCTTGAGTTGATAAGTAATAAACTACTTTTTAAAGCTGATAAAGAAATCTAAGTAATGAGTAAAGTAAGTAATGATTAAATAACTTGAAATAAATAGAGTATTGAATATTAGAGAGAAAATCCTTTTGGGGAGTTCGGTATTGTGTTTGTTTTTTCCTAAGTAATTTGGTTTCATGATAAGATGAAAAAAATAATGATCATTTTAAATTTTGGAAATAAACGGAAATGTTATAGTTGAATATCAGAAGGGTTTTTGTGGATATTATAGTAATTTCAATGGTTGAGATCATGAGTCGATTGGAGCTAGATCACCATGAGAAAACTTGGAAGCACTGAACGATCGTTTCGTCCTACTGTGAGACTCCTCACCACTGCGCATCCACGATCCAACCTCTCGAGCGCTTAACCACTAAGCAGTCTGGCATCCAACGGTGTTAATGTCTAACTCCAACCAATCCACGAGATTGAGCGAGACACCGTGGATGCACACTGCTGAGGAGTGCCACAACGGTCGTTCAATGCTTCCAGGTTTTTCATGGTGGTCTAGCTTCAAATGACTCATGATCACAACCATTGAAATATTTGAATATACCAAAAACAACGACAGTAGAGAAATAGTATGAATTCATATAATTATGATAAGTTTAAATTTTAGGAACTCTTACCATTTATCCTATAGCCCTAAAAACATAATTATGTTTATTAGGAAAACATTGTCAATTTTTTTAGATAGATAAATTGAGAACGAAATAAAAACTTGATATTTATATACTTAAATATAAGAATTATGAACAACTTACCCTCATGAGATGGAATAGGAGGAAAGAACTGTCTTGGCATTTGTCCAATAAAAGGCCCTGCATGACGAAGATCACATGAATCTTCAATTGACTAGAACGTAAAATAGCTCAGAATAGTAAGAACAGAAAATTAATTATTACTTAAACAAACAGAAAGATTGATTAAGGAGGTCTCCTTTGATAACCATTCAGTAGTATTCATCATAGGAGAAGCAGGTTCAACCTTGCAGATTTTCTGTCATATACATATAATGTATATCGGTAAACTTTACAAGGCAGTTAATCATATTTCATTAGAGCGATACAATGAGAAGACAAAGATTATCAGAATTATGTTTCGAACAATCTGATTACACTTATACTTGTTAAGACATTATGTATGAAAAATAAAAAAGTCAACTAGACAAGAAAGAATGTATACAGAAACAAAATTAATAAAAAGTACACAGTCTGAAACTCACCACTTTGGTAATAAATTAAAGTAGGCTAAGAGTAAGGACGAAATGTTTCTGAACACAAAAGCGAATCCAGTTTTTCCATAGACAAGACTTCAATAGACCTTAGTATACGACGCTGAAAACTCTTTTTATAGCACTATAGAGGCTGACTTGATATCGACCCTATGATCCGTCTCAACCGAATATTTCACGAATGCGGAAGATCATCGAAGTTCATTTGTTTCCTTAGCCATTTTGGTATGTATTCAACCACTCACCTGCAGATCACGATTGCTCCTCCCTATGTGTACGTTAATGAACATCAAAGGGACTAATTTTCATATTTCATTAGTCTTTATTTTACAAAAACGAGCCATCATCCATCACCCCAGCGAAACAGATGAGTTCAGTTTTTACCTTACAAACAGTCAGAGTAGTACTGCTGTATAGCATTTTTATGGCATGTCTTCATCTACCTCTTCTTTTTGTATAAAATCTTAAAATTGTGTTTAAGATTTTCACTTGTTCATATTAACTAAAGACCGGTAATTTTAACAACATCCTAGTATACGTTCTAACGATTTTTTTACTCTGTTTATCGCAAATTACACCGGCGAATCTTCTCCATATGTGGAGAAATTCGAACACTTCACTTCTACCTAAAGTTTGTGTTGATGATGTAGTTCAGAAGAACGATGAAAGTTTTACGACCAAACCATCCAGCTCAGAGCACAAAACTCCATCAAAATCATCCACCTGAGCTACAAATCTTCTCTACCATCCCAGTCTTCTATTTCACATGGTATTGAAAAATTCACGTAATCAGCTGAAAGGAGTTATTTTCTTCAACCGAGTAGCTAGATTCAGTCGAAGAGATCAACAAGATTATTTTAACGACCAATCAGTTCTAACCAGCTGAATATAAACGTTAGGAATAAATTTATACCAATCGCATTCACTTAAAAATAAAACATAATTCTCTAATATTTTATAATATCAGGAATAAATTCAGACCATACTTATTATCAGTAATAAATCATCTACCAGGTTAAATTTGCATACTTGACCTAGAACCAAATCGAAAGTGTGACGTGGTTCGAACTTGTAATTTAGTGACTAAAAGCCGGACACCTTAACTATTGAGCCACTATTTTAATACTGAATCAAATCGCAATTGCATATTTACATTTTACAAGAGTGAAGTCAAACCCCTCCTCATATAAATGACTTTAATTTTAGTTATCATTAATAAAAAGCTATTCCATTCACTTGTAGCTAGATCATTTTGCTTGATAATCATAACTCGGACAGGGAATACTAACAATCAGTGTGTTCGTAGTATTTCATAAAAGTGAAGCTTATTTTCATTTCTTTGAAAATTCACACTGATTATTTGGAAAAAACTTACTAAATTCTTTTCTAACTGTAAGCAACAGATAAGAATATTTCCAAATTCACGAAAATTTTGAAATACATTAGTTCTTAAATCTGTATATTTATAGATTTGATGTAATTGAGTGTATAAAGCCGAGAATACAGCATCAGATTCTGCTTTCTCTGATGGAAGTATCAATGATTGAGGCATAAGAAGCACTAATCGGCAAACATAATCGCGTAATGTTTGATTTAGCTAATATGATGAAGAAAAAAAAAACATTTTAAGAAATTTTGATGAATTTTCATGATAAATTTACAATGATATAAGTCGGAATAACTTCCAACAATGAATATAGGAAGAAATCACTAGATGATTAGGGGACTAGCCGACAAAAAGGTTATAATACTGTATGCAATTGAGTATGACAGATTGATGAACTATAACATAAGACGGCGTTTATTATTTTGTAGTAACCGGAAAACTAGTTGAACTGATATGATTTCAAAAATCTTACTTTCAATAATCATTCCGAAATTAACTGGAGATGGCGAACAGCAAACTTGAGAAAACGAGTTGAGCTTTGGATAATCAATCAAATGTTCACTATTCGATAGATTCTGATCCTGTAACATATGCTCATTCACTAACATCTGAATGTACCCATATGTTTTTATCTGAAGATTATCTTCGTCCATCAAAAATTTTGATAGGAATCTCTGTTACTGAAGTTCGTGACAAATAATTTTAAAAACCTAAGAATAATAGTAGATTTCGCAAGAGTTGAAGGGGGAGCACAAAGAATGCATCTGTACTTCCGTGGACTCCAACCAAGAAGTTCATATATCCAAAAACAACTCAAACTAGTATTGAATAACCTCGTGAGATGATTCTACATCTTGACCTGAGAGTTTTTAATCTACTCATAAACTATTATTAAAACAAGCATGCAGCACTTCTAAATAGATCCCTCAGTCACTTTTATCAAGTTTTACAGCCGCATGAGTCAATCAACTAACTTCGTCAATTTACTCTATATACAGCATCAAAAATCCTCACTAAATTGTTTCAATAAACACAAACAATGCTTTGAAGACACTAATGATAAAACACTAACGACCTTACGAGAAAGGCAATGTGAATAGATGAATCCTTTTGAAGAACAAGTAGATTGGTTGCGCAGACTATTCATATCATCCGAATTCAAATCGATAACAGTAATATGACAGCGAAAGAATGAAATCTAACACTCATATTTTAATTTCCCTAGCATTTAAACGACCTATGAAATCTGTATATCTTAATCACATTTGGTGTATAATCGTGTTTAGTTTTGCGTTCTACATTTTGTTTACAAGTATGTTATTTCATTAGACATTTATCCCATCACGCATGTCTTGTTTTTTTATATCAGCTTAATTGACGGCTCAAATCATGAGCTCGGTCTCTGGTATATCATCTATTCATCGCATTCTATTCATTTATGCTAACAATCAAAAAACTACTGGTGTATAACAAATGGAGGCAAATAGTCAGCTATTCAGAACAAGATAAACGACAAACTTCATTATGAAACAAAAATGTTGTATATAAAATGAGACTGATGTTACTTTTCACAGTCAGTCAAGCGACACATGAATATTCCGAAGACATATAACTAATAAAATAACTTTATAAACCATTAAAGTAATACACAAAAAGAAATTTGACTCGATAGACCGCCGATAAGTATGCCTGTTATAGAACCTGACGAATGGTGAATATGTGGTCGATGCAGCCACGACCATGTCTGAAGCCAGCTTGAGTCTCTCGTGTTTGCAGTTCACGAGTCTTAGTTAAGCGTCTGATAATTATCGAGGCTAGTATTTTAGATACTATACTATACTATACTAATCCCTCTGTGGTTGTCACAAGATGATTTTGACCCTTTCTTATATATTGGGACGATAAGTGATTGTGACCAGTCAGATGGAATAACGTCTAACTCCCAGATCTTAGCTAAAATATTAGTCAACCTAATCGCTAAAATTGGACCACCATCCTTAAAGACCTCTGGAGCCGGTCCAGATGGACTGGGCTGAACACCGACTACCACGACGTGCAATGCTATCCGGTATTGGAGATGGTTGGAAGAAAGTTAGGGGTGGCCAAACCAAAACATGTCATTAATCATTGAAGTTAATAACTTCTAGTCTTAGCCATGTTGGTAGGTGCAGATTACTTGGTTGGGGTCCTCGCAACTATTATAACCAATGGTTGGAGGCTCTGTGTGACATGGCTCAGAATCGATCACAATGGCGTCGGTGTATACACTCCCTGTCTTCCCTTAAACTAAGAGATTAAAATCACTTCATATCTTTCTTTCTACTAACTAATTCTTTCTTCGTGTACTATATCCCTATATGCAATCTTTCTCTTATATATTACTACCTTTGACCTAACCACTGCTATGAATCCGGTGTTCATCTTGTTGTGCTGATGCGGTATGGCAACCTGGACCGATGCACATATGTGCCTGGTCCTACGTTGTAGCTGACTGACTGACAAAAAGAAATCACTACTCAAAATAAGAAATCAAGTCAAACAAATTAAACGTACCAATGATTGAGCAACTTTCATTACTTCAGCCGTAACAACAAACAGACCTCGATAACCCAATAAACGACAAATGGCAGAAAAGTGAGGTGCACCAACAAAACCACGATATAATTTAAATATAGTTTCAAAGCATGTATTTAACGAACGACTACCCCAAACGTATTGAGCCTCAACTGTTGGCGGTTTCTCACGTTCTAACACTTCAGTTAATGTGAAATTTGTTGGTACAAATCTATTTGCAGATTTTAAAAATTTAAATAATTATCTGGTATTTAAGAATATTAAATGTAGAATAAATCAGAGTGATAAACATATATATACTGGTCGATATATCTTTTATACTTGTCTTTCGGTTGACTCCGGATTTTTCGCTTACTTACATAAAGCGTCTAGATTTATCTACTTTACGGAATGATCTACGCGTTCGTTTATTGCACGTGGTTTATTAAAGCGACTGTTTTTTTGTCACAACTTCACTATTGATATACTTTAACTTAACAAATCAATTTGTAGGGAGCAAACTGGCCCCCAAATGCCCTGATACGGCTGAGAGTGGGGAGAGTCAGCTCTCCCTCTCGAAATACTTTTACATGGCCACGTGCATACAACCACCAACAGGGAAGTCCTATTCACTGCTTTCTCGCACCACTGGTGTTGTTTACAAAAGTGAGAAGACGAAAAGCGAATCTGTGGTGCTTAAACCGGGTTGCTGGACACGGAGAGTCCACCTAGAAGAGTTGGAAAACCCTAATTCCAAACCATTGGTGCACATGGGCTTCAGGATACTAAGGGAACAAATGACGTATAAGCCTGTTGTTGGTCACCGGCTACCGTCGGACTGCATCTCCTTACGTTGCTCTACTGTCTTGTAGATTAGACCTGTAGGTCAAAGACTTCGAGTATAATCCCCTAAGATAACCACCTACTTCGGTTTGGGCACCCGAGCAGGATCCCAGCCGTCACATGAATCGAATGATTTATGTGGTGTATATCTATTTGGTGCCTCCTTGTACGAATGTTTATGTGTTTAAATATATAATTATGTAATTTGCTCAAAACTTGGATGTCCATTTGTAAAACCTGATGAGCATCAATTGAAAAGAATATTCTTCATACATATATCAGTATTTTAATAGAATGAGTATTTTTAAAACGGTTAAAATATTGTAGAAAATTTAATACTTAATCATAAAATTAAAACAAAACTCTTTCTAACCTGTTAGTAGCATCATTATAACAGTAATTTTTAACAAGATCATATGTTAATTCCCAAAATACATGAACAGTAATTTTTCCTAATCTAGAAGTAACTAAATTATCCGCTTCACGTAATAATGCATCAAAATCATCTAATTCCAATTGTTCACTCAACATTCTATGACAAAGTCGATTACATTCAATAGCTGCTTCCAATTCCTATAAATATAAAGGTATAGTCATATAGTATATATACAAAAACAAGATTTATTTAAAATTATTAAATATACAACTATAATAATTGACATAATTGTGATTCATATAATGTAGATGAATATAAACTATTTGCTCATTATTATATGCAATAATGTAATTTAGTGATTGGTTACGTTTTCAGCTATACTAGTTTAAATCACAACCTAGGTATTCATGGTTATTAGATTCTATTCGGCTGACTGATTAAAAATAGGTTACTACTGTATACCATTTTTCATGCAGCTGGCAGGATTACAAACGTCAGTCAATCATAAGGAACATAGAACTTAGCATATATGTGCATCGATTTAAGTTGTTACACCACAATGAGATAAAATGATCAGAATCAATACCAAAGTAGCAGAAGAATCGGTGATACTAGGAAGCATTAACCGCAGACAATATGATTCAAGAAGAATGAATTCGCAGAATAAAGGTTACAAAACAGTTCTGAAACTGTAAATCTAAAGGAACAAAAACAGTACATGGGTATGAGCTATTGTGATTGATTCTGAGTTAAGTTAATCAACACCTCTAACTAATGACTATAATTATGGTGAAGAACTTAATGAAGTGTACCGAACGTCTACCAACATAACTCGCACCAATTATCAATGAATTAGTGAATCCTTTCTTTCCTCCAGCCTACTCCTTCATTAGCCGACAGATACTTTGTGCAATGTGTAAAGAAAAGTTTCAATCTAGTTGGCGTTTTTTAGCAAGATTTTTTCTACGGGATGGGATTGCCGACCTCATGCCCAACCCTACTTCTCTACCTGGGCTTGAGACCTGCAGGAAGTCAAGAAGAACTACAGGTAAGCCCTAACTCGGAATCCTGAAGAGAAACGAAAAAGAGGAAGGCCAAAGAACACATTACGTCGGGAAATAGAAGCAGATATGAAAAGGGTGAATAAAAACTGGAAAGGGATGGAAAGGATGGCCCAGGACAGGGTTGGATGGAGAATGATGGTGAGTGGCCTGTGCTCCTTCATCAGGAGTAACAGGCGTAAGTAACCATCGAAATATATCAATTGATCACAAACTAATTAATAATGAACAAGACTTTAAGAAGAAATAAAATAAAATAAATGAATCCATCATCCTATAAATGATCCATCTATTGAAACGTATAAATAATCGACTGTATAATTAATCAAGTATTCTATGGTTAATTGATTGAAAAGAATGGATACACATACACATACACTATATGTATATATTAAGTATATTTTCAGAATTTCATCACATTTATCATCGTGTTCAGTGTATATATGTGAATGATAGATAAATTTTGTAAAGTTTTTAAACTAAACTACATGTATAATGGAATCCAAAATCAGTCAGTCAATCAGTAACAAAGTAGAACTTCGTACGTACGTAAATCAGTTCGAGTTTTCACACCACATTAGCACAGATGCAGTTGTCAACTCAAATTCCGTAGTGGTAGAGGTAGTAAGAGTATAAGCAGTAATCGAAAACATTAGGGTTATTCAAAGAGTATAATCCAGTGAAATAAATTTGGAAAGAAAATGGTGGACATGAAGAATTCAGAAGATTAGAATTTGGGAGAACACAAAGAATGGATGCACCTGCTCCATTGCAAACGATTTTGATCTATTTCATTCAAGGTCTCTAACCATCGGTTGCTATCATCTCGCGGTCCCCAACCAGGTAGTCTACACCTACCAACATGGCTCAGTTCACTTGTCAGTGACTTCATGGACTTCTGCCATATTCTGGTCTGGTCGCCCCTAGCTTTCTTACAACCTACTCCTATACCAATGAACATAGCACGTCGAGGCAGTCGGTGGTTGGGCATACGTTACACGTGTCCCAGTCATTTCAACTGATGAAGTTTCACTACTTCATCAATGGATTTGCCATCCTTACCTAGTACCAGTTTCCTAACAACTGCGTCACTTACTCGATGGTCCCAGGATATACGAGCAATGTTTCAAAGACATCTATGATCGAATACTAGTAACCTACAAATATCCTCTTCTCTTACCGGCCATGTTTCACTGCCATAAAGTAGGACGGAACGAACTGCTGCACAGTAAATACGTCCTTTCGTTGGTAGACGGATATCTCGCCTACGCCATATATGAAGCAAGTTAGCAAAATCTAGTCGAGCCTTCTGTATCCGTGCTGAGATTTCGTCACACACCACACCACAAGGGCTGATGAGGCTTCCAAGATAAGTGAAGCGGTCGACACACTCAACTACTTCACTCCCTATCATTAGTTCGGGTGTCGATGCAACCCAATCCTGAAGCAACATTTTGCATTTCGAGGGGAGAATCGCATCCCGAACATGCTTGCATTGTTGCTTAGAGTGATCAGAAGACTGCATTTTGTCAGCGTCTTCACCAAATAGAACTATGTCATCGGCATATTCTAGGTCAAGAAGTGAGTCTCCCGGCAGAAGTTCAACCCCCGAAAATTTAGATGAGGAAAGTGTTATCTCTGAAAGCACTTCAACGACAAAGTTGAACAAGAATGGAGAGAGTAGACAGCCCTGACGAACACCACTTGAGGTAATCAATGCTGATGACAGTTCGCCATAAGCTCTCACTCTACCAGTTCAGTTGTGTTCGAGTAGAGAGCCTTTATAAGGTTAATGTACTTCTTTGGTACTCCTTTCAATGACAAACACTGCCATAGAGCCTCACGATCAACAGAGTCGAATGCTGCATTAAGGTCGAGAAATACTACCATTGTGGGGCGTCTGAACTTGTGTCTGTGTTCTAGAACCTGACGAAATGTGAACATCTGGTCTATACAACCACGTCCAGGTCGAAAACCAGCCTGGTTTTCTCTAGCCTGCTCTTCACGAGCTTTAGTTAGGCGTCGAAGTATTATTGAAGTTAATATTTTAGACACTGTATTAGTCAAACTGCTTCCTCTGTGATTGTCACAAGAGGACATTTTTTATTTCTTATAGACTGGCACAATCAGTGATTGAGACCAGTCAGATGGGATTCCAAAATAGAACAACTAGCCCAAAAGTAGAATAAATAAGAGCCTGATGTAATTATTGGTGCAACTAAATCTTTATATGATGATCACTACATACATCTAGTACAATTATGAATCATTAGTTTCTTTCTTTAACTTTCAACCATCAATCGGATAGATGTTTTAATTTCAGTGCGTAGAAAGCTAACATCCATAACTATTCCAAAATGTTCATTTTAAAGTATATCACAAGCGTCCAAATCTATTCAATAAATAACAGTGGCATGGTTAGTCTCATTTCAGATACATGTTCTAGTTTATGAGGTTGTAAAATTTATTTTTATTGAATAATATATTTTGGATAGATGTGTGTAATGAGATGAATTAGATTGTTTTATTTATTTACAAAAACAAAACTATGAAAATATGAAGTCAGTCAGTCAGTTAGTCAGCTACAACGTAGAACCAGGCACATATATGCATCGGTCCAAGTTGCCATACCTCATTAACACAACAAGATGAATACCGGATTCATAGGAGTAGTTAAATCAAGGGTGCTAATATAGAAAAAAAAGATTGCATATAAGGACATAGTACGGGAAGAAAGAATTAGTTCGTAGAAAGAAAGATATGAAGCGATATATTAATTCTCTACTTACTGTAAATAAATCATATTTAAGATCCATTATTCTCCTTAAATGGTAAAAAAGAGCGATTGCTTAATGATTTAGGCGTTCGACCTTCGAATGCTAAGGTCCCAGGTCCAAACTTTACTCCACCGGCTTTGGTCTGGGCAACCGAGGTAGCATCACTAGCTCACACGTATAAAATGTGACTCAAAGTCAGGTGCATAAATTCAAACTTGATAAATGATTTATCAGTGAAAAGACGTACAGTTTATGACCAGTTGGATGTTCAAATAAACCTGCTAGTCTGTATACGACTTTCATATTTGATGAGTTTGGTCGACAGTCTATTGTCAATGGTAGGGAGTAAGAATTCTTCAAGTTAGATGCTTTTACTCTAAACGATATTAGTTCATGATCAAGTGTAATAGTACTGTACTACAAAAAGCAATAATAATGATAATAATAAACGTCAAACTTACAATTATTCCTGTTATATCTGAACTATGAAAACGTGAAATAGCAACTTCAATTGATTTGTATATTGCTTTAGTCATCCTCTGACAAATTAATCGGTTTATATCGACAGAACGACCAAGCAATTGAATATTTCTTTGTCGTAGTAAAGCTGCAGTATAACGATTAGGCGGTGGATAAGGTTCACGCCATGAAGCAGTACGTTGGGCTTCAGCTCGAAATCGTTTGTCTAATAAAATTGATGATGCATAGCGTTTATAGTGTCGAAATATTTTATCACTTAGTTTATAAACAAGTTGATCAAAGACTAAATTCGCTTCAGCCTCGATTTCTTCATACAGAAATCGTCGTCGAAATCGATTTAATGCACAATCAGCAGCATCATTGTAAAGATCAAGCATATAGAGTAGATATTCCGTATAACCAGGATGTTCACTTTCTAGAATATGATCGGTGAATATCCATGGTAAACTCATTTCAATTGGAAATTGTATACAAGCACCATTAGTCATTTCTAAGAAGAATTCACGATACCATAGTTGAGATAGGTCACAACACTTGATTAAAGTTTCTAGTGAGAAAAAATAGATGGAAAAGGATAATGAATGGAAGAAGGTAAACAAAGATGAAAACAAGAGATTATCTACAACCGTACTTATCTCAGTGAAGTAATATACATTTGTTGTATACAACTTCTAATCTAAAAGGCTTGTTCTTGAAGCGTAACTAACATGGTAAATCAAACAAAGTATGATTATCAAAACAACTCTATCTCAGAACACAGACGAGATTTTTGAACACCTAGAGCAAGCTGTTTAAACAAAATAAGTTGCAAAGTTTTATTGTACCAACAGGAAATAATTTATCATACAGCATTGACGCGTTATAGGGGATTCATCGTCTTGAAATCGATATCTACACCCAGTAACACTACTCATACTCTTTAGTTTTGATAAGGTCACCTGTTTTGTACTTGTCGACCTAACCGGATCATTTTAACATAAATCAATATTTTACATATAATTTCCCCTTTCTTCCTCCTCACTCTCAACTGTCTTTCTTATTGTGTAACATTTTTTAAAAAGATGTATCATTACAAAATCGATCCACAATGATTAATGTTTTATACTGAATACTATTTACCAGCGAATAGGAAAACAAGATTGTCTAACATGAGATTTCACCGCTTGTCAATTTTAAATTCACTTTTACTGTATACACACTAGTTTGTTATCTACATTTAACTAATGAAATGTTAAATCCATATTTTCGTTTCTTTATATGTAGTTCAGAGAAAAAAATTCTAGTATTGAAACGTGATACAGAACCGAACTCAAATAGAGGATTGATTTCAACATAATAGTGCATTTTTATGGTAACTCAGTCATATTTTCCACCACATTATCTTTATGTGGAAATTTTCTTTCAGCTAAATCATAAGTAACAAGTGCAGTGCTTCGGTTTGGGCACCCGGGCAGTATCACAGCCCTCACATATATCGAATGAGATTTGTGTGGCGCATATGTATTTGGTGCCTCTTTGTACCACTATGTATGTGTTGAAATAAATAAATAAATAAATAGCAGTGGAATTGTATGTTATACGATAACTCATTTACTAATTGTACATGTTCATGTACTTCGCTTTGAGCTACACTTTCTGTGTGCATTGGTGATACTGATCATCTGCCTACAATGACGTAAGTAGAACAGCTGGAAACCAATTAATTAAAGTACTGAATTGATTTAATAAACAATAGGATTAGATGTAATAAACTACTCATAAGAAGTAAGAGGTATTTTTCAACTAGACCATACGTCAAAGTAGATAAATAGAGAATTGATATAATAAATTTTGTAAACTACTTGACCAATGTATTCTAACCAATATCGTGTACCAGTCTTTACTTCAGTGAATAATTAATTCAATAAGATGAATTAACAATTTGAAAATACTTCTTTTGAATGTTAAAATTAAAAGTAATCATTAGAAGATCATGATCTAAACTTAAACTAGTTGGGAATATATTAGCAAGAGTGATCAATGTAAAACTAAGTATGAAAAGACCACCACACTGTTGATGAACATCTAATACGTTAGTCACTTGATCAGTGATAAAAAAAGTGGGATCTGTCAGATATGAGCGTCTGTCTAATTTGCTAAACCATATCAGCACAACGAAATAAGATTATCAAGGCAAATGCCAGAATAGTGGTAGCAAGGAAGATTAGGCGTTAATAATGTGCTTGGGTGAGAAACAATTAATTTGTGAAATGAAAAGTATGAGATAATTATTAAACTCAACATTTAAAGAAATGCAGAAAGTGAATGTCTCCGTGTCATTTTTATCGGTTCTGTGACATCACACATTTACAACTAATGATTATGATAATCACGAATAATCTGTACCTATCAGCACGACCCACCCTAACGGCCAATGAGTTCACGAACTGATTCAAAGTTTTTGATTAGCCGCCCCTAGTTTTTTTACAACCTATTCCTATTATTAAGCAAACATCGCATGTCGAGATAGGCAGTGGTTGGACATACGTAACACACATTCCTAAAGTTAGGAAGTCAGCTTACATTTATTTACTTATCTAGTAGAAAGTCACCTACACTTAAAATTAGTGATTAATTATACACAAACAGATTTGCATGAACAATTACAAATTACACTTGTATAAATAAAATTAAAGATGGATAAAATTGATAAACACTTTCAAATTACCACTGAAATTCAGAAGATATGGCCAATAAAAACTATGCTTAAGAAATGTATCTATCGCTGATAATGTTGCAGTGTCCAATTCTTTTCGTATCATTTGTTTGGTTGATGAAACTTGTTCAACCATTAATTCTAACATAGTTCGTACTAAATACAATTGACTAGATGATGGACCAACTCGACGTTTATTTGAATCAAATATACTACTTGTACTAATCGATCCTGTTGGACTGTCATTATTATTGGCTAATGAAGCAGCGACAGTAGCCATCGTAGAATTTGACCCTGTAGTCATACTATTATTATGATTATTATTATTGCTTGAATTCGATAGTTTTGAAGAAGCAGCTTTACCCCATGATTTGGATCCTGTTGTACCACCACCACTACTGCTACTAGTGTGCATCATCATATCCAAATCCATTGTGTCGGATATCTGAGAGGAAAAAAGTAAGGGATCGGGATTGAGTAGTTCTGACTTAATCTTGTGATGAGAATAAAAGTTGTTGAGAGAATCTGTATCCCAGAAAACGACTAATACAAAACTAAAGAATGTTTATTGATGAAATGCTATCATGTTTTTTGGTAGAATAAAAATATATTTCGGTGGAAAAGTTTGATGTGTTTGGTACTAGTAATGATGACACTAAAATTTGCATAATAATTATCGGTGTTAATGACTGTGAGCCAACTAACGAGATAAACATGGGTTGAACGATACAGCTCCACTGATGAACATAACCTGTTTACACACTACAAGGGCTTAAAATATACAGTATGGGAGTATTTGGTGGTGCTACATTCTCAAGTCATAGCTGTTCGGTAAATGTGGGTTTAAATAGACTTTCACTTGTTTCTAGTTAGCAAAGACTTTAAATACTGTAAAAGACATCGACTTAATGTGCCTCACAAATGTTTAACCTTTCTATTGTTAGATTTATTCTTTAGAACATATACTAAATGGAAGTCATATTTTCAAGGACTGATTTATTAAAAAATAATGATAAAAAGTAGAGTTTAATGACAAAGTTACGGATGACAATGTACTTGTTGGAGGTATTATATTCTCTAAATTGGATGATTTAATTGTGAAGCTCCCATTGTTTTTTTGGAAAATGCCATCAGCACGGAGTCCTCGTTAAATGACAGGCTACTGGAAAGCTAAGGAATCTTGGAAAAGCAGTAGCTAGCAAATTACTGATAGAAACTCCAGGCTTCTACTTGATCTAACCTTAGCAAGTCTGATTTGGTGATTCCGCCATATATAAACAATGGTTCGAGAACATAAGATCAAATACTTGAAATCTACACGTGTCTTTTACCTCTAAATATCATGTTTCATATAGACCAAGCTGATGGGTAGTATACTCCCACCTTAATAGACAGATGAACATCTCTCCTGAGCAACAGATTGTACAAGTTGACAAAAGTTGGCAGCTTTTTGAAAACGTAACAAGATTTTGCTAGTCACTAATCCACTAGGGTTGATGAGACTTTCAAAATAAGCGAACCGATCAAGGCCTTCAGCTATTTCCCTTTCTATAGTCATACTATGAATTATTGTAGATCACTCATGAAGCAACATCTCACACATAAGGAAGGGGTAGATCTATCCCAAAAAATATTGCACTCAAGACATGCAAAGGATTGTTTTTCTTAAGAATCTCAATATATAGGATTATGTTATCTATAAGCTTGGATTTAGTTAGTCTCAAAGTAAGAAATCAATCAAAACGAGACGATGAACTTTACCTCTAATAAGATACCTATGAGAAGATTCAAATAAAAGTCCATAGGCAATACTTTATCTCTTTAAAGTTTACAATATGAGTTTGAAACACACTATCCATGGTCTTTGTTCGATCAAATTCAAGTCAACCAATACTACTTATGTTGAGCATAAAAGCCATAAAACATTACTCAAACAATTGATATTTTAAACTTTAGTCACCCCTGATATATATCAGGGCTTAATTTTAAATGCCACTGAAAATCACTTTTCCGTGTTGAACAGCAATAACATGTAACTACAATTAGTTGAAAGAAAAAAATCGGAATAGCTTTTCGATATCAACGTAATAATACTTCCTAAATATAATTCTAAACACCCTTAAAAATTGGTTTGCATTTTATTATTTTAGTATCATTCTTCACCGATAAAACAGTTACGATATTATACTATGCATACTTGATCAGCACATGTCGCTTGAATCGCAAGTATTAAACGTGCCAGCATGATTCGTTCTTTTTTCTTTTGTGCTTTAAGCAATGGAGCGCTTAATTGGCCGACAACAATTGCCTGTAGTTCTCGATAAACAGAACGACCAATCGCTTCTGAATAACAAGCTTCCAATCGTAAAAGTTGTGTTTGAACAGATTTAATCATACTGATTATTTCAATCATAGCAAATCTTTCTTCTGAATTGTAATTATAACGAGTGGCCTGAAGGAAACGAGAAAACAAATGAATATATTCTGGATGATGGAAATGAGTTCAGAAAGGTGATATTTGGTATATTTGGACGGATTTTTTAAACAACTTAAAGACTAACATGTATGTTAGTTGAGTGATCACAGTCAAATAAATCTTCAAAGATTGGACTTCTAACCACCTAACTCATGCCCTTATGGAACCAGGTTGGCATTTTTCCCCTCATACTTGCTAGACTGAATGCTATCTACGGACTATATGTCTTGCTCCACAGCAGTAGATGGACTGTTAAATGCACATCTCTCATAACTGTGAAAAGCTCATTAAAATGTTATCTTTTAGCAATTAGACGAAATGGGTTACAATTTCCCTAACTACTACCTAACAGATAGAAGTATCTACAACCGCTGAGAAGGACAGGGTCACGATTAAGCTACAACTTGAACATATTAGAGCCACATAATTGGTAAGATGTTTGCCTAGGAGTACTAACAAACACTTACTGGCTGTTTGCATCAAAACATTAAATAGCTTAGTTTAATGATCATACCGTGTTGTTATTAACAAAATTAGATTACTATCAAGAAACAAAGAGATATCACGGTTAAAATCTTGTGACTGAAAAATGTAAACTAGCAGATTATATACCAAATACAGGGCCCGTGGTTCAGACACTAGTAGCTTTCCGAACAAGGCGCTTTGGTAGTTGGTGTGTCTCAGGTATAAGTCCCAATTCGGAAGGCAAGAGTAACTGGGAGATAATCCCGTTCTCACTTTTAATGAGGTAAGATGAGTGTCCTGGACCCCGATCCCAGTCGCTGGAAAACAGTATCAAAGTAAATCATAATTCAATGTGACACCTATGAACAACGCTTAACGCTTATTCTTTGTATTTTACAACTCAAATGTCATTTTATGGAATGACCGGTTAGAAAGAGTAACATTTTTGACAGAAAAGGTACAAACAGAGAGAAATATACCGCGAACCAAATCATACGTGATGAAAATTCATGACTATAGGTGAACAACACTGAAAATAGTGTAAAACTTTAGTGGCAAATCTTAGGAGTACTGAATGAATTTGCTTTACTCAGTACCTTTTTTGTCACTTTGCAAACAATGTGTTAATTTGGCAGGAATTATTAGCGCACCAGACTTAATAGTTTTTTTTCAATTCAGTTAGTTATTAAAAAAGCTCAAAACAGTATCATAATTCAAAAGAACCTCATATTCACGAGAATATAATCGAAGCATACTTTTTCATAATTCTCAGCATCTTTTGGGCACTCATGGTTTGTGAAACCGCTGGCACAGTGAGCAAGCTTCCATGAAAATGTGTCTAACACTTGTACAGACCAACCAGATAAATATTGAAGACCTCGAAGTGCAAGATCATAAAGTTCTTGGTTTTCTTTGGCAGAACGTTCATTTAAACGAATCGACGTTGTATTTGTATGCCAAGCTAAATCGGATGTCAATGAAGTATATTCCTCTCTGAAATCAGAATTTTCATTATCAAAAAGCATTTAGGACAAATAGATAGATATATATAAAGGGATCATGATGTGAGATGTTTTATGTGACTTTTAACGTTAATGAAGTTTTTACGGGTACCGTTCTGTGCAATAAAGTGGAAATAGTATTGATATTATCAGCTAGTTTGTGGTGTACAATAAATTTGAGTGTTTAGAAGCATAGTGAATGACAAAGATAAAATCGCAATTTAAAAATATACTCACTGATCGTCCCGTACACGAGCATATCACTACTAAAATGGCAACTGGTTTATCACGTACAAATTTATGGATTCGGTTTTGCACCAACTTTTTATGTAGGACAGATAATGAACTTACCCAGCTGTCCAAACTGAAATGGAGCTAGTTTCGGACCAAAGACCTTATACTTGGAAGCCAAGTCTTTTAACCACTAAATTACGACTAATCACGTATCCATTAAATGGTTATGGTATATTTTCTCCTTAAATGATAAGGGAATGACAGTGGCCAACACAATATCTGGTACGAATTAGGTTGAAAGTTAACTTAAGCTAGTGATACAAACCAGCAACATGAATGCAACTCATCCCATGACTAGTAAAACTCTTAAGGACCACCCATACATATTTATCTTTGAATATTTAATAAATTCACTTTAATATTTCATATTCAAAATTCTTCATTGTACTAAACATAGTGTCGAATATAGCTATCATTACTAATTTCAAAGTGACACTAACTGATTTCGACAAAACGTGATCAAGTTATTAATATGATACCACTCATATACTTTACCTGATTATTTTGATAGGAGCACAGACATGGATAAGAAAAGGATATCGTCACACCCGCTAACCATTTGCTACTTCAGGGTTTTGTCAGATTTTCAGTATGATCATACGTGAACAACCGAGATACTACCCGTGTTTCATACTTCCAGCGGTTTCTTCTATTTTATTAAAATCAATCAAAAACGCTGAGAAACCTGAAGGCACCTATTTGTAAGGTTATCATCTCCACTCCATCTAATTATATTAACTATTCAAAACTTATTGAAATGTCTTGAAACTCCTTAGCACGAATGGAGATATAGCTCATTGATCTAAATACATCCATTTCTACCAGATCAACGGTTTAAACAATCCCTCAACGACCAAAATCTTAACATCCTAGTGGTGTTACAGGTCCTTGCGGAAGAGATCTAAAAGGATAGTGAAACTGTACAGTCGATGAGAGGTCTATGTATTCCAGTAGCTTTGTAGGCCCTCGTTCAGGCTTTCTAGCTGGGCTTAGTCTTAATACGACGAAAGCCAGAATGACTTACGTTAAACACAACTACCACCACCAATTTAACTTATACATGAAACGTTGGATGCTGAATATTGTGCCGAGTAGTGGTACTCACACAGTAACAATACACAGCAAATCCCGAGTCCTAGCTAAGTGTGTTTGAGGATGGTGAAAATAATTGCATTATCCAATCTTTGGACACAGAATCTAGTAGCTTGCATGTTCCCTTTCGTAAATTGTTCGAATGGTTACAAACTGCATATTGTTTGCCAACTTTACGACCAAAGAAAATGGAGGCGATCGATGGGTCTGAAAAAATAGTAGGGAGGAGGTCGAACTTGAGAAAACCTAGTTCCCTTTTAAAGTACTCGGTGCTTGATGGAAAGTGGGTGGTTTATGTGGGGAAAATGTATGCCTGGTTAGGCTGTGATGGGACGAACAGACGATTTGAGTTAAACCAAGCAAAAGCAGAAATATCACGTAATACCTACTGAAATCTCGCCATGTGCGTTAAGATCACTCCCTGACCAGAAACTTTAGCACTATTGCACTCTGGCCACTTAGATGGATCAAATGACGCTGTTTGACGAACATATGAAAATGGTTCCACACTCATATCACCGAACAGATTGACAACTTCACATTCCTAAGAAATTAAATTAAGGAACGAATCTGGCTTACCTTTAAAATCCGATCTAATTTACCAATGTTAAGACGTTTTGCAATTTTATTCAGGCAAACGCCTACTTGCTTACCATCAACTATACGACCGGAATCGAGAAGATAAAGGGAAAAAGCTATGACCTAAAGACGTGAACGAGAACTAAACCCGGATTTACTATAACATGAGTGTGTTTCTCTTCAGGAAGGATATAAACCTTGTTTTCATACATTTGAGCGCTGTTATGAATGATTTCTATCAGAAGGTCCTCATAGCCATCAATTGCAATCAAGCTTTCTTTTAGTGTATCACGAATGATTTTTTGCTTCGCCAAGAATATACTAACGTCGTGAGAATCGGGATCGTTAACTTGTAGAAACTGGGCGGCTCTGATTATCGATAAGAAATTAACATGAACACACCTTTTGTAGTTAGAATAATCATTTTTCATGCTTGCCTTCATGTTCTTCATTTCATCTAGAAGAGCAAACATTTTTATCATTTTCCCAAGTGTGACGAGATAGGCCTGGTTGACGAAGAAGTTTTTCTGATCCTTATGGGCCAGTCGTTTTACTTCTTCCACAAACCTCCGTATAGCTGCATCCTAGTAAATTTGATGAAGTGCTCTTCGGCAACCTACTTGAAAGAACATGAACTGTTTCAATTTTAGACAATGTGGTTCTAATATCTCCTTCGTTTTTTCATATATCTTTATTCTATTTGGCTGGTCACTTGACCGGATCTACTGAGAATAATATCTGAGCTATGAACTTACAAATGGAAGAGCTCTAGATATCGACCTCCACGTGTACAGCATAATCGCGTACTCTTGTCCTTGTTCAAGTAGGGTATTGAGGTGTGAGTAAACCCTTGCATCTTCAGCAGAACGCGCAAAAGCGGATTTAAATGCGGTTATATCACTAAAATTCGTATCAGTGTTGGACTGACAAGAAATGAGTCTAATGAACCAAATAATTACCTGCAACAATATGGGGAAATTAGCTCCCTGAATTGATGGAACATCTTCATCAAGGTTTAGTTGGGACAAGGCACTGACTTCTCTCATTGTAGTAGGTATAGGTCCTCGAAGATGTTGGAGGACTTCCATTGTAACGCTATAACTATAAATCCGCAACCAACCGACCTTCAAAAGCCTCGAACCTCAAACTTTGGAAGATGGGATTATCGAACAATGTGTTCCTTTGAATTCGCATATTGCTGTTAGGAAAGTGTTTTCGATTATGAAATAGTATAGGTCTTTTTTCTGAATCTGAAGAAAGTAACAACAAACTGGTTAGATAAACATGAGGTTCTCTGAAGAGTGTTGCTCCATAAGGTACAATCCTTGACCCTAGTTCTATTTAATTTCTGGAAGTTATTTATCGGCCATTTATTGCTAACTAATCCTTCCCATTTTTTATGAGATTCAGCAACTCATATGTATGGTAGGGTAACATACAGTCCTCAGTAATAAATATAGTACGTTGTTCGACCTATGTTAATCCTTGAAGTTTGTTTTCAAGTGGTTACCAGGCTTCTCCCTGAAATAATCTACTGACTAGGCCGGTATGGTGTTCCAGTTGCTGACTACTCAATGAAAAAAACGGAATTACTGAATTCGTCTAATCTCGGTTCTTGAGCCTGTAGTGACCTATTTTATCAAGAAAATGCGATTGGTTTAGTGGAAACAATTAATATTATAACCAATTGTACTAGGGATTGTTTTACTGTACTTGTTTGTTTAACTACTAAAAGCAAACATTCTTCCGTTGATTGTGACCTTGCACGAACTTACGTTTGCTCAGTAGTTCCGCTTGTACTCTTTGGCATGATCTCGGTATTATTGCGATATCACGAGATCGTCAACAAATATATCTTGTTACGACCTTCAACCGCCTTCTGATTTCTGATTTACTCGGAGGTTTAGCCTGTTCTAGTACGTAATCTTCTTGTAGTGGTGATTATAGTCAACCGCGACTCGACTCCACACTACAAGCCTTCCTGCGGTCATCTCGATGATGACTAGTTCTGGAGGAATCCAAAGGTTGGAACATTTTAACGCTCAAATTTTATGGTCCTGCTTGACTCGGTGACTTTCCCGAATTGTTTTTCAAAATACCTTAACTGCTGTGGTAGTTGGACTGACGGTTGTTTGACACAATCTGTCATTTTCCGTTTTTAAGTAAAGGCCTAATGAAAATATCTTTCCGATCCATAGAGAGATGAGCTTGGAAGAGAGAGATGTTGATCATCATAGCGAATGGTTTTGGAATACACTCTGCGAGGGATTACAGCAATAGTAGATGTAACTCATCGGGGCTCGGTGACTTGTCAGGTTTAATGTTAATAGGCAGTTGAAAAACAGCTTTATTGGTCACGAGCACTGGCACCACAGTAGTGTGGGGGAGGAAAGTGTAGTACACCTGTCTATGCCACTAAAATAAAAGATTTACCCACTTATGATTTTGGTTGTACTAAAAATATTCTGCGTTGTGTTCATTTAATTCAGTCGTTTATTTACTCTGATAAGTGGCTTACATTTAGTCACGAAACATCAGAAATACGATTTCGCTACTCATTGGTATGTAACCAAAAATATACTTCTCATTAACTTCCTACTCATTGTTCAGTTCATTTAAAATTATCATGTCCAACCTTAAAATTGATGCCCACAATAATATATTTAATCTGACATTTAGGACTTTTCATGTTGTAGCGGTAAATAAAACCCCAAAATCAATATCTTTATAAGTCTTCGACATTAGATGCTGACCACATTAGTTTTAATGGACTCGCCTAGGGCTCGCTCATGTATCCGCACCAGATCACCAGTGGGAACTCCATGCTCAACATCTCCCGCAGTCGCTAGCCAGATTAGATCAGACGATCCTCGATATATTGGTAGCCTATGAAATATATCTTCGAACACCCTCGCTTCTGTCTTTTGATTTCACATACTGTGTACGATTCATATTACGTGTTACTGGTTAAAGCGTTGTCAAACTCTAAATACCTGTGGCATCTTCAATGTTGTGGCTACCTAATTTGTATTGTCTTACGCTGAAGCCACATCACTCTCTATCCTGACTCACCATACATTGAAGACAACCTTAGAATAACTCATTTGAGCTGGTGGCAGAATAATGTAACCAAAATAAATTTAAGAGCTAATCCCCAGTTCTGCATGGATGAACCACGCATGTAGTGGCTACCATACAGCAAGAAGACACCGTGTGTATCAGGAAAGCATGCGAAATAGCATATGTAACAGAAAGAATATGCTAAAAATTTCCCAAAAGTGATTCATTTAACAGTATTTTTATTTCTTCATTCTTTTCCCCTGTCTTGCATTTCAACTTTTACTCAGGTCTTTTGTATTCACGTTTTATTTTCTTCACTCTTTTTTGTCTGGACTTTTATTGTCTGATTTTGGTTGAGGATATGCCTTATGGTGGCACATATGTCCATTAAATTTCGTGACGACAAAACAAAGATCACACTTTTTCTTTATTTTTGGAACTTTGTATGTTACTGGGTTACTACTCAATGTCTATTGTTCCTCTGTATCAATTGTAAAGATGGATACAACAGTTTCGTTGCACTAATACACACTACCGCTGACTAGAAATAAATTCATTCTTTATCGTCTGTTATACTTTACCGACGTGTGATTGAAGATTATAATGGTGTTATAATATCCTGTTAGGTCATTCTACATTACATTCGAGCTTTTGCCCGGATTTCTACTGAGTAATACTAACAGACCTATATTTCCCAACAAGCGTTGGCGCCACACGTACAGAGGGATCTTTGTTAGTCAAGTGGATTCATTTTTGGTTGTTATTTCAGAGGGCACTCACAAGTAACATTCATTCCATAACAATTATTATTCTGCTACTTAATAAACAATTTTGTTGTGTCGTTTGTTACCGTTTTGCTTTACGCATAGACAGACACTTCAGCTTGTAGTGTTAATCCTTTTTTGATATATCATTAGTAACTGTTTGTTTTGTTACATATTTAGTACGTTTTTTCACTGGGATCTATCACAACTTTCATTAATAATTCTGTTGTTGCATGTTACTTAGCCATTGAAAATAATTTGATCTCTGACTGGAATCAAGATTATGGCATGGTCCATTCGATGACTGTGGACCTTTGAATTTCTTATGGGAGCTGTTGTTGAAATACCTGTGGGTGGATTTCTGATTCCACCTTGTTGTGAATATCCTTATTGATTATCAGACGTAATAAACGAGAACATAAGTGGAGACATTTGGATGTACTTGAATACAAAATTACAGAACGTCGTAGTAAAATCTGAAAATCATGCAGTAAATACTTAATTTACAAAATGTCAATCAGTGGTCTCAGATTTTTTTTCAATCCCACATCATTCGTTCCCCGTTCTCGTTCTCTTTTATTTGATATTCTTAACCTTTTGCCACCAGGCAATTCACTTTAGATTGTTGATACATGCCATGACCGCGCTTTTCGAACGGGAAGTTTAGTCCTAACGTGATTTGCATTTATCAAACTTTTGCTGTGTTCTTACGCAACAAAAGTACCATTTCTGTCCAAAAGAATCTCTCCTGAGCTAAACGTTCGGTAGATTATTTTTTAGTTCCATCCAATTTAATAGTTAACTGTGGTTTTGCCTCAGCTTACTATTCGTTTTTTTCACTTTTTCACGTAAAGACTAGTTCAGTTTATCTCATCCGTTTTATCCATTTTTGTCCGTTTTCAGTGTTTTTTAGTGTATTTTTTACGGTCTTAGGCTTTTGCTAGCATCTACAACACAGTTTACGTCAATACAGTCATGAAAAATTCATGCAAACGACCTGGATGCCGTTTCGCGGTTACATCTGGCATGCAGTGCGACAACTGCAAAGGTATGTTCCACGAAGCGTGGACAGATCTCACAGCAACTGCTTACAACTGACTTAGCAAGTCGGATCATAAGTGGGGATGTGTTACGTGCAGCACGGATGCTGCAGTCTTGCTGAGTAATATCATTGTCTTACTGACAGGTCTGCAGAGTGGATCGTCTGTAAACTCGGGAAAACAGTCAAAAAATGGGTAGACAAACAAGAAAGCGCATTGAAAACGAACACAGGAATGTCGATAGATCTACCAACGACGGAGCATGCAACAGGATTAATGATGACACGCTGAAACTCAGCACCATGATTACGACGACGGTACTCGACTCCATCAGCAAACTTGGGTCTCACAGCTCAAGGTCCTTGAACGCGACAGTGGCTCCAAAAAACTTTGTAGGTGATTGGACCCACGTCAAAAAAGCTAAAGAGGGCCAGCCTTCACAGTCTAAGTTGAACATCCCAGCTGTTGAACGGAAGTCAACTGATGATCTGAGCGCACAGTCTACCCCCAAGATTGTCCGTCCGGTCATCAAAGAGCCAAAGATTCATAAACGTGCTTCGACCTCCAAACAACAAGGTGCTAAACCTGAACGCACCGGAAAACCTGGGACGACAATAACGGTTCGTGACGACTCTCTCATAGTCATAAACTTCAAAGACAACCCTGATCTTTCTCTCAGTTTGCAGGACAAAAATGATAGGATGCTCTGGGGAGAACTGAACAAGAAACTTGGACTTCCAAGAATAGAGCCTTTGACAGCCACACGGCCCACTCGGAGAAAGGAATCTAAGCATCAAAATCACCCGAGGCTACTTCGTGTAACACTTAAGAATGCTACCGACGTAGAGGATGTCTTACTAGCGAGTCATTTACTGAAATCAGATGGGAATGTAAGAATACTGCCTGACATACCATATTCTGAGTGCAATCTCATCCGAAACATCCCCAAAGAAACTCGCGATCAGTTTTTCCGCGGGAGGAATATAATCGTGCAAGGTATACCGGAAAATACGGACCCTACTCAATCAAAGACTGACATCAGGGAGTGGAAATTCATCAAATAGTCCTTGAGGCTCAAAAACATACTGACTCAGCATGTGACGAGACTAGCCAAGAAGGACGGTGATCCTAGACCTCGTCTAATGAAGATAACCTTCCCATCTTTCCACATCGCGGCTGCAACTCTGGAAGCATTTCGTGCCAACAGACGTCGACTGCCACCTGGAATCCACATGCACCCGGATAGG